GAGATCTTGATTTTATTTCCTTTGGATACACAACCAGAAGTGGAATGGCTGGATCACATAACAGTTCTATTCCTAATTTTTTGAGAAAACTTCATGATGGTTTTTTCTTGATCGTCTATATTTTATTTTATTATTAAAATGTTTAATTTTATTTAAGTTCAATTAATTAACCTATAAAGTATTAATGGTTTCAGAGGTAGAGGTCAGTGATTCATCAGTCTTACATAATGCCAGTACTTCTATTACATCACATCACCCAGTTGTCCCAACCCTTTATCCTCCTCCCCTCCAGTGACCTCTGTTTTTGTTTTCTATGATTGAGTCTCTTATAGTTTTTCTCCCTCTCTGATTTCGTCTTATTTTTTCTTCTCTTCCCCTATCATTTTCTGTCTTGTTTCTTAAATTCCACATGAGTATGATCATAGGATAATTGTCTTTCTCTGATTGATATTTTTTTGTTTTTTTAAGTAATCATTATAATCAATATGGGGCTCAAGCTCACAACCTTGAGACCAAGAGTCACATGCTCTACTGACTGAGACAGGCAGGTGTCCCTTGTGGTTCTGTAATTTCTCCTTTTTCATTTCTGATTTTGAGTTCCCCTCTCTTTTTATTTTTATGAGTCTAAAAGTTTATCAATTTGGTTGATCTTTGATCTTCCCATAGAACCAGCTCCTGGTTTCACTGATCTGTTCTATTGTTGCTTTGTTTTGTTTTTAGTTTCTATTTATTTCTGCTCTAATCTTTATTATTTTCTTCCTACTACTAGTTTAGGGCTTTGTGTCTTCTTTTTCTAGCTCCTTTAGGTGTAATGTTAGGTTGTTTGAGATTTTTCTTGCTTGTTGATATGGGCCTACATTACTACAAACTTCCCTCTTAGACCAGCTTTTGCTGCATCCCAAAGATTTTGAACTACTGTGTTTTCATTTTCATTTGTTTCCACATATTTTTAAATTTCCTCTTTGATTCCTCGATTGACACATTCATTGTTAAGTAGCAAGCTATTTAGTCTCCATGCATTTGTCTTCTTTCCAGATTTTGTGTGTGTGTGTGTGATTTATTTCTAGTTTTATACCACTGAGGATGGAAAAGACACATGATATTATTTCAATCTTTTTTAATTTGCTGAGACTCCCTGTAGGGAACCTCCTCCCTCTGCCTATGTCTCTCATGAATAAATAAATAAAATCTTTTTATAAAAAAAGAAGACTTTTGGCTCAAGTTTTGTTTCATATACCAATATTAGGGCCTGACCTCTGCTTAATGCCTTTTCTTTCCCTCCTAAGCATATTAAGCACATTGGAAGTAGCAAAACAGAGATTTAGTCCAAAACAATTATTTGAGGGCAGAAAAATTCCTGAAAAGGTGAAATGTTTATGGAATTAAAACCAGGCAAATAAAAACAAAGTATCTGAGAGTGGGTAAGGTTACAGAAAGCATGGACACAAAGTAAAAAATGCCTGTCCTCCATGGAACTTATGTATAAATATAATAATAGTATGTCTCTTTATTTTCTCCCATAACCATTAAAACCCCTTTCCCTGAGTCAACATTTTGAAATGGTATTATAAAATTCTGACAAACTATTTATTAAAATGTCTTTTATATCATATTAACATTTGCTAAGAACTAAAATAACACAATTTAGGAATGAGAAATGTTTTTATTTTTAAAGTATGAACTGTGTTTGCTTTGCCTACCTGATAAAGTATTTCCAAGTCACTTGTTTATTTACCCAATATTTACTGAGAACCTACTATAGGTCAGACACTGTGCTACTGCTACAAGTACAAAATGAAGTAAAATATAATCTGTATTCCTTTCAAAGAATTTATAATCTACTGAGGGAGACATAATCAAAGTATACACAGGATACCACATAAGCAGGGCAGCCCCAGTGGCGCAGCGGTTTAGCGCCGCCTGCAGCCCGGGGTTTGATGCTGGGGACCCTGGATCGAGTCCCACATCAGTCTCCCTGCATGGAGCCTGCTTCTCCCTCTGCCTGTGCCTCTGCCTCTCTCTCTCTCTCTGTGTGTCTCTATGAATAAATAAATAAAATCTTTAAAAAAAAAAAAAGGATACCACATAAACAGAGAAAGGGAGCAGGGAAAGATGTTCTTGAAGTATTAGGGTAAATCTGGAAGGTCAGGTATAAATTAAAGCTGTGCTTCCTAAACTTGACTGTGCATCAGAACCACATCTAGAGCTGCTGTCTAGGCCTCACTTAAGAGTTAGTGAATTAGAATCACCAGAGGTGGAGCCAAGAAATCTGTATTTTTAACCATAAGAGATTTGGATTCATGGCCAGGTTTTGGTAGAAATGAGCCAGAAGTACAGACAAGCATTCCAGGCACAGGGAATGGATCAATATGGTCGGAACGTGGGGAATTACAGACAGATCAGAGAAGTTAGAACCAGGGTAGTGACATGACTAATGTGACATTTCAAACGGAACCTATGGAATTGAGGTGAACTTCCAAAATAAATAGCAATCACTTGTATCATGTATTACAATGAATGATTTGTGACACGAACTAATTCCTTATTGAGGTATATGAGAAAATTATATGCAAATCCTTGCATTTCAAGACAAAGGTAAAATGCTCCCTTGAAAAAGAAACGAATTAAAAAACAAAAACAAAACAAAGCCCTACTCATAATTTTTACTAAATGAACATTTTTCTTGACATATGTACCTAAAATATGAACAAAAGTTATTATATTTTTTAACTTAAAAATGTTCCATAATGTATAAAAACAAATTCAAACTACATTTTGAAATTCAAGCTTTAAAACTACAAACTGCTGGGACACCTGGGTGGCTCAGCGGTTGAGCATCTGCCTTTGGCTCAGGGCGTGATCCTGGAGTCCTGGGATCGACCGGAGTCCTGGGATCAAGTCCCACATGGGGCTCCCTGTGGGGAGCCTGCTTCTCCCTCTGCCTATGTCTCTGCCTCTCTCTCTTTCATGAGTGAATAAATAAAATAATTTTTAAAAAATAAATAAATAAATAAAAATAAAACTACAAACTGTTCTTAATGGTTTAAGTTTCCAAACTGTTATTTTATAACAATTTGTCACTTCCTAAGAATTTAGTTAGAAATATCTTTATACTTAATTCCAGGTAGGAGTAAAGCTAAGACAAATCACTAGTAAGAGGAATATTCACTGTAAATAGGCTAAAAGCCAAATCGAATCTTTTATATTGATCTCTGTTTGTAAAATAACAAATGGGTTTAAATCCCCAATTCATTCCCCATAAAAGATGTCACAGAGAGGTAAACAGGCAATCCCACAAAATAATAAGCTTTTAAAGAACATGCTTCAGAAACCTTGGAGCAAACCTACCAATTATAATATATAAAATACAGCCTATGGTTATATTCTGTTTTTAAAAAGTCTCTCTAAAAAATAAAAAATAAAATAAAAAATAAAATGTCTCTCTAAATCTTACTTAGAGCATTTAAACATACCATAATAACCTATAGACCAAACAAAGATTCATTTACTAAAGTCAAAACTATTGCCAAACTATGCATACTAACTCCCTAGGAGCAAACAGTGTATAGAAGCAACAGCAGTTAAAAGCCAAAGGACTAACCACACAGCCCTATTAGAGGAGAACCAATTGACAAATTATAGAAATTGGCTAATTGTAAGAATAATACCTGTAAACTTGATATAGCAAACCATTCTTTCTCACACTTAATTTAATATACCTTTAAAATGGTAATATTACCAAGTTGCCTTAATTTCCAGATGAAATACAGGAATTAAATTACAGTTCTCATCAGCTTCTCAGGCTAACATGATCTATTTACATAGAATGTAATGTCTCTGCTTCCTGAGTTATTCACTGCTTCCTTTCTACTCCTACAGCACTTTATACATATCTCTATTTGCTTTTTATTGCAAGGACCCGAGTCCTGCAAAGAAGGTACTGTTATGACCACATCACCGAGGAAACAGGCTATGATAAAGTGACTTAACGAAAATCACTTACTAACTCAGATTTCAAATTTCCATCTATCTGGTTGCAAAGCTCTTTCCATATTGCCTCAAAGGAGGAGGGGAACATAGGAATAAATAAATCAAACCTAAATCACTAAATTGAACACAGTTTCTTCTGTAACTACACTGGAAGTAGCAAAACTAGCCCGATCATATCTGACAAACCAAAGGTAGAGAATATGTATCCAGGCAGAGGCATAGGGGTTTTGCTTAGTACCTGAACTCCCTCATGTAAATAGGAAATATCCCACTTCATGAGTCTCGTTAGAAGGAGGAGCCTACCTCCATTTATAGAAGCTAAAAATGCCATAGTCATTCTTCCCGTCACCCCTTCAGCATGAGCACAGGCACTTTAATGCCAATATGTCTTTCCCACCAAGAACTCTAAATTAAGAGCTAGAGAGAATAAGAAGCTAGGACAGCAAGGGCTGCATTCTGGCAGCAGGCAGCAGCAGCAACATTAAGTTTTTAAAGGTGATGGTGGCAGCTATGCAGTAGTTGAGTCTAGGCAGCAATTTGTGGCAGCATCATTGTCACTGGCTGGTTTTATGTCATGATTTTCAGATGTCTTTCCTGTTACCTAGTCTAACATGTTCCTGACTTAAGACTGTATACAGCCTTCCCAGCAATTTGGTGAACTAACAATATACTTTCAATAAATTACTTTTCTACTTGAATCAGTCAAAATTGTTTTCTGTTGCCTACAATTAGAAACCCAGACTGAAGAATTTAATAAATAAATAAATAAATGACATTAAACAATTATACTTAAATCTTTTTACCTTCTAAGGTATTAATTGTTGTTTTATGTAATTTGCCAAAGAGTCTTAAGTAACAGCCACTTTATATACATGATGGTATACTCTAACAACAATAAAATTTCAAACCACTTTATCTCTGAGAGCAACATAAACATGCAAAAATAATAACAACTGTCTAACAGTAATTTTCACTGAGGTTCAGAGTTAAGCTTTATTAAAAATTCTTACCTGTCAGGAATACCTAGCCTCTTGACACTTCTGTAAACAGAAAGAGTATTTGCAACATGTCGATAATTAAACCAGAACCGGGATGTACATACCTGAAGTATTAAAACAAATATATTATTGTTATGAATCAAAATAAGCCACCAAGTTACAGAATTATTTCTCTTTAAGTAGGATTTACAGATCCCTTAAAAAAGAGTACATCATAATTTAGACTTACATACAGGAAAGCATACGAACAATTGTCAATAAAACTAATCTCTCTAGAAAGAAGTCTTTCATAACTGCTATTAAATTAAAAACACCATTCAGCTTAAGAGAAAGCAAATTTGGGAAGAATTTAATCAAGAACTTAACCAACTTAGTTACTCTCAATTTATGTGATTCTATAACGTTCCTAAGTTTAAAAAGATTAAATTCTTTAGAATCAAAGGCAATGCCCATAATCTCTTTATAAAATAGAAAATTAACTACCTTGGGTTATATAATATTCCTTTCACTCTGAATTGCTTTCTAATTCTAGTTATGAAAAATGTGAGACAGATAATATACCACTTTCACATGGACGTAAGAGAATGCATCATAAAGAAACTATTGAACTGATAGAAAACTAGAAACAATTCAAATAAGTTTTACATTAAAAAAAAATGATCCCTAAAAATGATATCAAAGGTACCGGGCAAATCTAAGGCCATGCCTCAAAAATCAGCCCTCTGGAAAATCCATTCTAAAAGCCCCAAAGAGGGCAGCCTGAGTGGCTCGGCACTTTAGTGCCACCTTCAGCCCAGGGCGTCATCCTGGAGTCCCGGGATCAAGTCCCATGTCAGGCTCCCTGCATGGAGCCTGCTTCTCGCTCTACCTGTGTCTCTCTGCCTCTCTCTGTCTCTCTCATGAATAAATAAAAATCTTTAAATAAATAAATACCCCAAAGACCCTCCCTACCTCCTACAACATGCCTCTGCTTGTAGTAGGTATAATGACAGCTTTGAGAATTGCATAAATACTCCTGTCCTTGCAAACAGAAAAGAACACAAGGTTTTATTAAGATGAATTTTCAACCTGGAATCCAATAAGGAAAAGATTATAATTTTTGACTACATTAAAATGTAGAATTCCATGTGTCAAAAATACCATAAAGTCCTAAATGAAATGAAAAACTGGAAATAACTGTAGCTCCATGAGAAAAAAATGAGCAATCCAATTTTCAAAAATGGGGAAAAGATGAGAGCAATCGTTTCATAATAAAGGTATTCAAAATGGACAATAAAACTCTTAATGATGCTCAACTTTTGTCATAATTTAAAAAACACAAATCGAATTGATAAGTATTCAAAAGTTCATGACAATTCATAGTATTGGCAATCATGTGGGAAAATGAATAACCCATATTCTACTGTTGGGAATTTAAACTAATATAAACCTTCTAAGAAGGTAATTTGCAACATACATCAAATTTGAATATATATTTATCTTTTGATTTATCTTAGATAAGTACGCAAAAATACATATTCAAGAATCTTCACTATAACATTGCCTATACTAGGAAAAATTGAAATAAAGCTAGAAATCTACTGATTCCATAACTTGAGCAGAAATAGCTTAATTTACACCTGAATTAGTCATAATAAAAACCAGTATATTCAGTGCACTTTATCATACCCAAAAGCCTTTTCTTAGCTATTATTTAAGCATAAACCTGAGAGACTGCCTTCATTTTTACCAGCAACTTACTAGACATGAAATGAAGGTAGCAAAAGAGAAGGACCAGGACATACCAACTTAATATAAATTATTCATATTCTCAAAATGAAATACAAAAAAAAAAAAAAGCCAGTTGTAAAAGAGCATGTGATATGATCCATTAGCCTTTTTAAAGGGAGGGAGGGGTACATAGGAATGTAATTATATGCACTGGAAATTTCTGAAAGGATGCACAAGAAAATAATAATAGTGATCACAGAGATTAAAAATGGGAGTCAAAGAGGGGTATTGTGATTTTTCAGTTTACACCCTTCCTTACCGTACCTTTTTTTAACCATGAGTAAGGATTAGCATTATAGCTTTTTTTTTTATTAAACAGGAGCAAAGGGCAGCCCGGGTGGCTCAGCGGTTTAGCACCACCTTCAGCCCAGGTTGTGATCCTAGAGACCCGGGATCGAGTCCCCCATCAGGCTCCCTGCAATGGAGCCTGCTTCTCCCTCTGCCTGTGTCTCTGCCTCTCTCTCTCTCTCTCATGAATAAATAAATAAAATCTTTTAAAAATAAATAAAAAACAAACAGCAGCAAAAATGATTTACTGAAAGCAGATCTTGAAACTAAAACGAAATTCAATTTTCCTTCTATCTCCCTATGGTGGCAAAGTTTCTCAGTCATAGTACAATAGCAAAAGGGCATTCATTTATGTTTGATCATTTAGTCAAGACTAAAAACAAAGTAATTCAAATTGGTAGAGAATAAAAACACATGTTTTTTAAATGTGAATTATATAACACTGAAAAAAAATGCATGGTTAGTATTTCCAACTTGGTCCTGGTCAAATTTCACAATTTTCCATTTAAGAAAGCACAATTCACTAAAGTCTCACTTTACGAAGTCTGAGTCCATGAGTAAAATATTGCACACAATACAAAACTGCAATTGTTGTGAAATGCTCAGTAGTAATTCTTTCTCATCCTCATTTAATTTCTTATCTGAGACCCAAGTTACTGAGACCAAAACGGGCTCAGTTAGAGGTTTCCCAGCCTAAGAAAGCTTCAGTGTGTATGCTGTATAAGCTAATAGGTAATAGGCTCTCCATAGGATGAGCCCTTTGGCAATTAGTTGTCTGAAAGGTAGGCAGGTACTCCCTTTTTTTAAGAATTCCCATAGAGAGATTAGTCATTAAAGAACTCTTAGTTTCCTGGAGAGCAAGTTATCCTCTGGAATGGTGGAGTGTGGCCTGCCTCTTGGTAAGTTACCTCCTCTTTTAAGTGGTCACCAAAAACCTGTCTCCTTATCTTGAGCAGCTTTTGTTCAATTTCTTCATAAAATCTCTTTGGAGGAGTAGCATAGAGGTGTTGTTTGTTGAAGAACAATAAAACGATCCATGTACTCACGTTAGGGTATTCTATTTAATCACAATAAAATTGTATGTAATACAGATATATATGGCAAATGTAATCACTATTTACTTTTAGCAACCTAGAGATAATTACATACTTTAATGAAACTATTCTCAATAAAACTACAAGGCCCCAAACATGCAGTCATCCTTTAGCCTTAGTAAAGGTAATTATAGTCTTATGCGGTTGTTCTACACTCTTAGTCTAAGTCCTCTACCCACCCACCCACCTCCTTTACGCTCCCACTGTAGTCCTACAATTCATTATCCTGTTTTTCTCCTTTTCCAACATGAGTTACTGGCTTTGACATGCAGTGCGTCATCTACTCCCCCTTCCTTTTTCACAAAAATTCACTTTCTTTCTTGCCTCCTTATTTCCTCATTCTTTCTTCTAGTCAACCCTTTCATATATTTTCTTTCATTAAGTCAAATTTATTATATCTTCTAATCATATAAATGTTATGAAAAAGTCCCCAGCAGGGACTGGAACTATCATCCAAATACTTTCCAACTGCAAGAAAAACAGAATTGATGACGTGTATTCTATTCTATTAGGGAAATTAAAAATATGAATTTATAAATCCAGATAAATTAAGATGGTAATTCACACCAAGAAAAAAAAAGGCAGAAGAAAAAAATAGGCCAATAAGTAAACTTTACTAAGAATCAAAACAAATGATATTAAAACAAAACTTAATTTGTTACCTAGCAGTCAAAAAGAAAAGGCAGAGAGTCATAATACATAGTTGTTTTGGGATTAGAGAAAAGAGGTACAGTGCTTCTGGAGAGCAATTATGCTCCATAACTTCCCAAATTAATGCCTTAGGAATTTATCCTAAAGAGAGTATCATCAGGTTCACAAAGGCGTAGGTATAAGGCTGTCCAACATAGCCTTGTTTAAAATGATTAAAGATTTAGAATCTAAATACCCATGAACTACAGATTATGGTACATTCATAAAATGAAAAATATCGCAGCCTTTGGAAGTAGATTATGCATCTCTACATTAACAGGGAAAGACCTCCAAGATATACTGCTATGGGGTGCAAAAAAACAGGTATAAGATGACCCTAGTTACATAAAATCATTTATCTTTGTGCTTATATGTGGAGGGAAAGAAGGCTAGAGGAATCAAAATGTTAATTCTGGCATGCGTGGGACTTGAACATATTTTCTCTGTCTTCCGTTTTTTTAAATTGAGGTGATAGTCACCCAACATAAAATTAATCTGTCCTCTTCTAAACTTTTCTGTATAATTTGAATTTTCTATGATGATCATTTATTTTTATAGCCAGAAAACAATTAAAAAACAGTCCAAGTAGAGAGTATTTACAAACTAACATTACAGATAATACAATTATTAGTTTCCATCATGAATTGTACATTTTATAAAATGATTCCTTTAACAATAGCATCCTTATTTATTCTTATATTCATTTACATATCACCACACAGCATACTGAAGGCACAGAATATTAGTTCATACAACTTAAAATACAGCCAAATCAAATAAGGCGTGTAAGATGAGAAACTTTTTTTTTCAGAAATTTGATTCACACAAAATTTTTTCACATATCTAATGTGAACAGCAACATATACCTTTACAGAACATACTTACCAAAACAGCCCAGTTATTTGTATGGCCACTTCTAAAGAATTGTTCTGTTTGATCCTACAAGTCAAATAAGAACAAAAACATTAGAAAAACCACATTTCTGAGAATAAAGACTGAAAAAGAACAGTTAAGATTCATGGAGTCTTCAGTAATAATATAATGAGAGTAAGTTATCACTATGCACATTTATAAAGGTTCTAGTGTTTTGATCTTATAAAGAACCAAAGTTTTATTTTTTGTTGGAGTGGGGTCTTAGGGCACTGCTTGTTTTTATACATTTTATCTCGAACACAACCAGCTCTTCCTCATATGTTTCTAGTTTTCCAGTCTTCAAACCGTGAACATCTTATTTTCATGACTTGATGCTACACATAAAAATTAACACCCTTCTTACTGAAGTCTCATTCATTACTTCTTCCTACTCTGTGCTAGATGGTTCCAGTTACTTTATTTGAACACATCAAAATATTTGATTGACCATATTCTCTAGCACATTGTTATGTATCCTTTGGCTAATCTGTTAAAGTCTGAACCATATTTGCCATCGTGGAGTATTACAAAACCTCAAAAGCCAACAACATCCAAATACCTAATGAGCATATTATATATTAAAATAATAGTGGATATAAGCCTTAATGACCCCAGATCTGCTACCAAACAGTATTAATTATGAGAAGTCATCCTGCCTGGATTCCAACCTGGGCCCTATTATTTTTTTTTTAATTTTTTATTTATTTATGATAGTCACACAGAATGAGAGAGAGAGGCAGAGACATAGGCAGAGGGAGAAGCAGGCTCCATGCACCGGGAGCCTGACGTGGGATTCGATCCCGGGTCTCCAGGATCGCGCCCTGGGCCAAAGGCAGGCGCTAAACCGCTGCGCCACCCAGGGATCCCCCCTGGGCCCTATTATTTACTAGCGTTAAAAGCTTAGGAAAGCTCTGAGCCTCCATTTTCCCATCTATAAAATAGTAATATTACCCAACACATAGAAGGTAGGAATGGTGATGGGAACATAATAATCGCATAACAAACATTAGCTGTTTTAATTTTCAGCTGGCAAGAAAATTTCAGGGAGAAAAAAATTAAAAATTCCCTCAAATCTGTGGATCATATACACATATACATGTATTTTTTTGACCTTTTTCAACAGATACCTAGATGCAAAAGAAAACAATGCACCACAGTACATAAGGCATTAGTTTAAAAATCTGAAGATTTGGACTTCAGCCCCAATCCTATTGCACACACGGCTGTGAGACTGGGGTTAAGTCACTTGACTTTCCTCATGCAGAAGGTAAGATCTGACTCAATAGTCTCAAATGTCCCTTCTAGCCGGAAATTCTTACATCATTAAGACTTCAGTGAAGAATTCGATATGGCAAAACTCTTTTGTGATTGTTTAAACAAAACAATACAGGCATTGCAAAGTTACTCAATGGAGGGCCCATTAGGTGCCAGGTACACGTAAAGTACGGTGATACAAAAATCACTAAAAAGCATGCTGCTTCCTCTCAAGAACCCCAGAGTTCAATAAAGAAGCATGCAAACATGTCCACGCCAATGTAGGATTCATTCATTCATCCCATTTATTGGTTGTCATGTGCCAGCTGCTGTCCTGAGTGCTCAGAATACAATGATGGGCAAAACAGTCATAGTACTTGCCTCCAGAGGTTGCTATCCCATTTGATAGACACACATTAAGCAGATGAGGGCAAACTATAAATCCTATAGGGAAAAGATACACAGTATCATGAAAGAGTATAACAGACTCCTAGAGACCTGACTTGACCTGATTCTGGCAGTGGGAAGTGGGAAGGCATCAGGGAAGTTTTCCTTCGAGAAGGGACATTTAGGTTAGGATCCAAAGATGAAGAGAATAGGGAAGATAATTTCAGACAAAAGGAAATCCACCCTAGTGGCAGAAAGGAACTTAAAAGGTTTTGAGAAACTGAAAGATTAGAGTAACTAGAAGTCAAAGAAATCGAGAGAGAGAGAGAGAGAGAGAGAGAGAACTGGAAGTGCAGGCAAGGCAGGGGGCCAAAGTATGCAGGGCCTTGTTCATGGGTCATACTGAAGATTCTGTTCTTTATCCTTAAGGAAGCATTAAGATGTTTATGAGTGACACGATCTGATTTGCATTTTTAAAAGTTATTCTGGCTGCAGCTTGAAAAATAGACTGGAAGGAAGAGAAACTTGAGGCAGACCAGTTAGGGAGCTACTACACTCTTTATTTTTTAAAGATTTTAATGTATTTATTTGACACAGAGAGAAAGAGAGCACAAGCAGGGGGAGCAGCAGAAAGAGAAAGGTAGCCCGCCCTATGCGGAACTCCATCCCACAACCCTGCGATCCTGACCGGAGCTGAAAGCAGAGGCTTAACTGACTGAACCACCCAGGTGCTCCTAGCCTTTCCATTCTTAAGTGAATGATGATGGAATAACAGGTACTATAAAGTATGTATGGATTATAGCAGATGAGTGCTATACTAGCTAAGAGTACAAATTAACAACAGTATAAGCAAAGGCAAGGGATAAGGAAAGGCTCTACAGAGGTTATGCTTTTACTGCATCTTAGTAAAAAAAAAAAAAAAAAGAACAAAAGGCATTAAAAAAAATATGGTTAATCTGAAAAACCACAGCAACAACGTAACTACACAAAAAAATGGTATCCAAAATGAAGGATACAAGATAATTCACTAAAATAAAGGAGAAAAATAGCTGAACTTCTATTCATATTTGTATTATATTAAAAATATACCTTATAGGGCAGCCTGGGTGGCCCAGCGGTTTAGCACCGCCTGCAGCCCAGGGCGTGATCCTGGAAACCCCGGATCAAGTCCCACATCAGGCTCCCTGCATGGAGCCCGCTTCTCCCTCTGCCTCTGTCTCTGCCTCTCTCTCTGTCTCTGTCTCTCATGAATAAATAAAATCTTTAAATAAATAAATATATATATATATATATATACACACCTTATAAATATTGAATATCTAGATTAGCAGTAATTTATGGATACAGAGAGGGTGCATGCACCATAGCTTTTCTAACTGGAGGGTATGTATTTAAAAACTTTAAAACCCGGTCTAAACTCAAGGTACTTAGGAGGTGGAAAGAAAGGACTCCAATAAGATCAAAACGGGGACCTTTCAGTGATTCAGCAGCTGAATGTCTGCCTTTGGCCCACAGCGCGACCCCAGGGTCCCAGGACTGGGTCCCGTGTAAGGCTCCCTGCATGAGGCCAGCTTCTCCCTCTGCCTGTGTGTCTCTGCCTCTCTCTCTCTCTCTGTGTGTGTCTCTCATGAATGAATAAATAAAATCTTAAAACAAAAAAAGCGAAACTGAATTAATTATTCCTATAATTTAAAATCTTGCTGTGTTTTGGATATTTAGCTGCATGAAAATCATTGGTTGTTCAACAGGTTTTAATGACGTTGAATTACTTTGTGTTCCTTTTGACTTTTTGGTAGATTCATTACCTAAGAACTTAAGAGAGTAATATATTAGTATAGTTTGCTTGTTTTTAAAATTCAAATTGGGGGATGCCTGGGTGGCTCAGGGGTTGGGCGCCTGCCTTTGGCTCAGGTCGTGACCCTGGGATCCAGTCCCCCATTGGCTCAGGTCGTGACCCCAGGATCCAGTCCCCCATCCGGCTCCCTGCGGAGGAACCTACTTCTCCCTCTGCTTGTGTCTCTGCCTCTCTCTCTGTCTTTCATGAATAAATAAATCAAATTTAAAAAAAAAAGATCAAAACGTGGACAGAGACCAGATTATGATGTGTTTAGACCTTCTTCTGTGAGCAACCAGGAAAACACTGAAAGCATTAAATGGTTACGAACAACCTGAGTGGGTTTGCCTTTTATGAAGCCTAATGTAACATCCAAGTGAGTGACTCTAGAAGCCTGGGGGGGAGGGGGGAAGACGAGATAGTTCTTGCAAACAGTCTAGGCAAGAAATGACCAAGGCTCCCATGAAGCCAGTGGAACTGGAAAAGCGAAAGCAATTTATTTTATTTGTTTATTTATTTATCAAAGATTTTATTTATTTATTCATAAGAGACACAGAGAGAGAGTCAGAGACACAGGCAGAGAGAGAAGCAGGCTCTGTGCAGGGAGCCCAATGTGGGACTCGATCCCAGGACTCCAGGGTCATGCCCTGGGGTCAAACGCAGGTGCTCAACCACTGAGCCCCACCGCGGGCTGCCCTGAAAACAATTTTTTTTTAAAGATTTATTTATTTACTTATGATAGACAAAGAGAGAGAGAAGCAAAGACACAAGAGGAGGGAGAAGCAGGCTCCATGCCGGGAGCCCAAAGCGGGACTCCATCCTGGGACTCCAGGGTCATGCCCTGGGCCCAAGGCAGGTGTTAAACCGCTGAGCCACCCAGGGATCCCCCCGAAAGCAATTTTTAAAGTTCAGAACACAGAATCTAGCCATGATCAACATGTGCGATTCAAAAAAAAAGTTTATCTGCAAAATAATAATAATAGTAATTTCAAAACAGGTGACAGAGTGAAAGCAATTTTTGAAGTTGAGAACACAATCTAGCCATGATCACCATGTGCGGTTTAAAAAACAAAGTCTATTTGCAAAAAATAATAATAATGATAATAGTAATTTCAAAACAGGTGTGTGACTCCGTGAAAGCAATGTTTAAAGTCCAGAACACAGGATCTAGCCATGATCAACATGTGCGATTTAAAAAAAAAAAAAAGTTTATTTGCAGAAAATAATAATAATTTCAAAACAGGTGCGTGACTCAGTAGCAACCCCGAAGGACGTGGGCTCCGGCGGAAGACGGTTCTCGAACTGGAAGATGATCCCGCCTGGCCCCGGGGGGCGCAGGCCCGAGCCCCGAGTCCTGGGGAGGAAAGGCTCGCAGGGGCCCCGACGTCCCGCGACGCAGAACCAGGAGCAGGCGCTTCGCCCCGCCCCCGCCTCCGCCCCGCCCCCGCCTGGCCCACGCCCCGCCCCACGCCCCGCCCCCGTCCGCGCGCCCCGCCCCCTCGTCGCGGGTCAAGGGCGAAGGGACAGCCCCGCGGCCCCGCCCCGCCCCGCCTGACGCCGTCCCCGGCGCCCCGAGGATGCTCCCGCGGCGGCCGGGGCTCGCGCATCGGCTCTGCGGGGCCTCCGCCTACCTCGATCCGACCAGCGGCCACGCTGCCGACGGACAAAAGCAACAGCCACCCGGCCAGGGGCCTCAGGCCCTCGCGGGGAAGGCAGGAGGCCACCATGCTCCCGGCGCCGCTTCCCGCTCCCGGAGGGGGCGGAGCCAGTGCCGGAAAGCAGCGCGGCGCGGTTTTGCGTCGCTTTTTTTTTTGCGACACCACCCGCACCTCCTTGAAGCCGGCCTTTAGTGAGCAGGTGCTTGCTCTGAGTTCAAGTTTCCCCGGGTCGCGGGGGCAGGAGGGATGGGACGCTTTTTTTTTTTTTTTTTAATGCAAAAAGGTGGTTTTATTAAAGCACAGGGACAGGACCCATGGGCAGAAAGAGCTGCGCTAGAGTCATGAGGAGTGACCCATTATGTACCTTCAAGTTGGGAGATGGTTAGGGATAGCATTAAGTTTCTTTTTTCTTTTTTTTTTTTTTTTGCAAGCTCCGAGAGCCTAATTTTTTTAAATTTTTTAAAAATACATTTATTTTTTATTGGTGTTCAATTTGTCAGCATATAGAGTACCACCCAGTGCTCATCCCATCAAGTGCCCACCTCAGTGCCCATCACCCGGTCACCCCCACACCCCGCCCACCTCCCCTATTTTTTAAAAGATTTTATTTATTTATTAATGAGAGACACAGGCAGAGGAAGAAGCAGGCTCCATGCAGGGAGCCCTATGGGGACTCGATCCAGGGTCTCCAAGGTCACGCCCTGGGCTGAAGGCAGGTGCTTGACCGCTGAGCCACCCAGGGATCCCTGGACATTTGCATTTTAGATAACTTCTCCTTCACTCATGATTCATATGCATACTAAGTACCCACTGTGGTTAGTCCTACTGATATTGGAGAAACCCCTTTACGGGTGTTAACTCCTCCTCTGAATCCCTCAGGCATTTATCTTTCTTTTAATTTAATTTTTTTGAAAAGATTTTATTTTTTCATGAGAGACATAGAGAGAGAGAGAGGCAGAGAGACAGGCAGAGGGAGAAGCAGGCCCCATGCAGGGAGCCCGATGCAGGACTCCATCCCGAGTCTCCAGGGTCACGCCCTGGGCCCAAGGCAGGTGCTAAACCACTGAGCCACCCGGGCTGCCCCAGCATTAAGTTTCTAAGGAAATTTGCAAGCAAGGTTTCCAGGACCTTGAGGGGGCTAGCTATTCTAGGGGAAATGTCATTTATTTCTGTCTAATAAAACCTGAGTCATGGTGGGTCATATGTTTGGGGGATGATTTCCAACATATACCTTGGAGGAGTAGAGATAAAAGAAGTTTTCAAAAGAACTTTTATATGTTGAAGTAGACTTACAGGGTCCTGGGGGTTGAGCTAAGATTTCTTTTTGCCCTTGGCAAAGTATCAACATGGAGGCAGTTGAGTCCCTAGAGAAAGGTCTCCCTGCCTGTCTCAAAGACCTGTCAATAGGCTGTAGGCAGTAAGGAAATTTATTAATTTTTCCTCTACCTTTGTTTCCTACCCCTAGGATGATTGTGAGCATTAAATGATTAATGAAGCACTTGGTATGGTGCCCAGTACAGAGTAGGTTCCATGTAACTGAGTTTTATTTATTTTTAGTTTTTTTTTTAATTTTTTTCTTTGATCCTTGATGTTTAACCGCATTTTTAGTGTTTGTATTGTAAAATAGAACACTTAAACGTCTATTTGAAAAGTGGGGGAGAAAAACCTGTGACATCCCCCCCATAAATCTTAAGAAGCTATTTCCTAGTTTCCATAGTGTGGTCAATTCCTTGAATTATGTGAAGCGATAAAGTGGGATACAGTGGGAAGAGCAAGCCTTTGGCCACACAAAGATGATGGATTGGGTTAATTGGAAACATGGGTGGATGCTGCAGTTAACAGGCATGGAGTCTTATCATTAAAAGCTTGAACGTGGAGAAATTGTTTAAATTTTTGTATCTTCTGTAATTGTGGAGCTAAAATTTACTTCGAAGAGAGTCTGAGAATTTGATAAGATCATGTGTATTCGTTCCATTATGTTCATTATAAGCATTCAATTTTAAATTATCTGTATCTAGCATGACATAAACATGTTTATGCTGCTTTGTGATCTTCATGATTTTGTATTTGAATGGTAACTTGGATATCCATCATCATCGTCATCATCATCATAATTCCTCAAACAATAATAATAATGCCTCTAGGTAATCGCCCCTTTACTGGACAATACAAAGTTTTCGAGTTTTACTATAAAAACCATATTGTAAAGCGTACCTTTGTGCATTTGGCCTTTTACACTTGTCGAATTATACTCTTTGGATAATTTCCTAGAACAGGAATCTTAAGTCAAAAGGTAGAAAAATGTTAGTGCCTTTCAATATATTGCTTTCCAAAATGTACACTCGTGGTGCTATCAAAATACAACCTAACACCAAATTATACCTTTTTTTCCCTCCAAATTTCTTGCTACAAAAATGTTACCTCGAGGTTGTTCTACTTCTACTTCCTTGATTGCTCTCAAGATCTGACGTCTTTCCCTGTGTGTATAAACTGTCTTATGTACTCTGATGTAACTATTCTGCTCATAGCTTTGTTATACACATGAATTTGAATACATTTATGAAGAAGTGACATTAAACCTTCATATTTTATGCTACTGCTTTTCCCAATCTTTTGTCTCTCTTTCCATTTTGTTTCTTTTGCTATTGTATCTCGTGAGGTATTTAATGTTAAGTGCTCAAATTTCAGGCTTTCCCTTGTAAAGAGAGCACACTACCAGAATGTCTTACACCTGAAATGTCACAAGTTCATGCAAGTCTCAGATCAACTATTATTTTCTTTTGATTTTTTATTTAACTATTCAACTATCTAGAATATATTTTGGTATATGCCATGAGATGTTATAAGAGATATCTATTGCTGCATAACAAAGCACCCAAAACTCTATAGTGTGTCCATAGCAAGAGACACAAGGGTGCAGAAATGGAGACATGATTCTAGGGAGCCGTTGCTGTAGCAATCTACTACTTTTATCAAAATTGGTATTCCATCATCTGACAGGTAATGCTTACCTTACCTAGTGACTCATAATAATTCTGTTATTAAACACTTGTCACAAATACAGTATTTCTGGGCTTTCTGTCCACTTCAGTTAAAATATATGTCTTTCTTTGGGGCCAGTACTGTGTTATTTTAATCACTGTTGCTTTAACATGCTTTGTTATTTGGCCATTAGGGCTAACCGTTTTAGTAAACTTAATTTTTCTTTTTTTTTAAGATTTTATTTATTTATTCATGAGAAACACACAGAGAGTGAGAGGCAGAGACACAGGCAGAGGGAGAAGCAGGCTCCATGCAGCGAGCCGGACGCAGGACTCGATCCTGGGTCTCCAGGATCACACCCCGGGCTGAAGGTGGCGCTAAACCCCTGAGCCACTGGGGCTGCCCAGTATACTTAATTTTTCACAAAAATTCTTTGATTTTTATGATTTTGCATGGTCATTTTCCAAGTGAATTTTATAATAATTTTCCAAGTTATAAGAAAATAATACTATTTTGACTTTTAATGAGATTATTACAGAATCTATTGATAAATTTGAGAAAAGCTGCATCTTTATCATATTTAGTCCTTCACCCTAGAATATGGAACTCTCTATTTGCGGTTCCTCTTTTTAATTTTTCGGTAGAACTTTAAGCCAAAGATACTTAAATTAAGCAACTTCCTAAGCATTGTTAACATTTTTTTTAATTTTTTTTTATTTTTTATTTTATGATAGTCACACACAGAGAGAGAGAAAGAGGCAGATACATAGGCAGAGGGAGAAGCAGGCTCCATGCACCGAGAGCCCGACGTGGGATTCGATCCGGGGTCTCCAGAATCGCGCCCTGGGCCAAAGGCAGGCGCCAAACCGCTGCGCCACCCAGGGATCCCGCATTGTTAACATTTGTTGTTATTCTTAATGGATCTTTTTTCACTGTATAGGAAATATATACATATATATCATTATAAATAGGTAATATCTATAATACTATGTATTCTGATCGGTTATTGCTGATATTCAAATAGCATTTTCTGTCCAAGTACTTTTTCACTATTTTGATAAGAATAATTAATAATTACTTAAGATTTTTGTTTGACAAATTGTTTTGGTTTTTCTAGTTTTTAAGTAATGTTATCCTCAATTTACCTTTTTGTCTCTTCCTTTCCAATATTATTTCTTGTATTTCTTTTTCTAGCTTATATTATGTCTGGATAGCAATAAGAATTAATGTTGATAGCAAGAAGATTTTCTTGTTTCATTTTGTTTTTAAAAGGATGGCTTTAGCATTTTTCCTTTAAGTCTATCATTAGCTCTTAGAATAAATACTCATTGTCATGTTAAAGAAGTAGATTTCTATTTCTCTTTGTCTTTTCATTGAACCACTGATTTTCAAGTGTGGAAAAGAGCCAGCTTCATACCCAAGTGTAGGACACACGAGCAGTTTTAAACACCACTCAACACAGGAAATAATTTTTTTAATCTGTTAATATGTGAAATTTCATTGTTTAAAATTTGGTTAGAACTGTTAATCCATGGATACAGAGAACAGGTTGGTGGTTGCCAGAGGTGAGGGGCAAGGTGGACAAAAAAGGAGCAAAGGCACTCAAAACGTACAAACTTCTATTTACTGTATAAGATAAGTAGATCCTGGGAATATGATGTTTAGCATGGTGACTATAGTTAACAATACCAAGCCCTATTCCCACCCCAGCCTGTCACCTGTCCAACCTTGGGTCACACTGCATGTCCCACTGGCACTGAAGTAGACAGCGACCTGACAGCCAGCCACAGGGGGAGCATGGTGCTCTTGGCCCTCCTGGCCAGGTACTGGGCAGCCTCTTTGGACTCAGAACTCTTCCATTTGGCCTGCCTTAAGAATACAAAACACCAAACTGCGATCAGTATAAATTACCAGGATGCCCTATAGACAGACTTTAGCCCTGTGTTTGGAAACAACATGTACACTTATCCCAATGAGTGTACTCTGTGCATGAAAATCAGGGAAGATGGTCATGATATTAAAATAATCCAGAGTAGACCATGTTGATGGAGCAGTTTATAGAAGAGAAATTGGATAATCCACCTTCAACAGAATGCTAGATGAGTTCCGTTTTCCCATT